AGCGCTCTTTTCTGGGCTGGCAGAAGGAAGGCTTGGGGCCGAGGCATGGGGCAGCCTCGGCCCCAATCCTCTGCTTCCCAAGGCGGCCCATGGCCACCTGTCTGCATCCCCCCTTAGTTTGTTGGGGCACTAGGGTTCTCTGACAGAGCTAACTATCTCAATAGTCCCAGGAGTTCATCAGCTTGAGCCATGGCAGTTAAAGTGGCATCAAACTGTATTATTTCTGCAGCTCAGATTAGACCGTTCTGCAAAAGCTCAGGCCACCAGCTTCTTCCTCTCAGTTAGTCTCAAAGATGCTACAAAATTCCATCCAACACTGATTTCCCAGACCGACAGGGCAATGCCTCTGAAATCTAGGAGTCCCATTGTTGTTTCTATCACTGTCTCTGCCTGTCTCTGTTAAGGAGAAGGGTCAGGCCATGCATACCAAGACAAACCTACCCGTTCCATGCATCCACCCATTTAATGCTGGGAGAGCAACAACCACTGAAAGAGTTAATGCCTCAAAGTGAGCAGTAGTAATATTAGTAATACTCCTACCAGAATTCCGGATTGTTGGCCAAACTGGCTAGGGCCTCTGAGTTGAAGTCCAAAATACCTGGAAGACCAAAGTTGGAGAAACACTGGATATTAGGCAGTCTAACGCAGGGGTAGGCAACCTTTCCCCTTTAAGGGCCGAGGGACTTCAGCTCCCAGAAGCCTCAGCCATGTTGGCCAATAGTCCCATGTTGGCCAATAGCTCCTGGGATTCTGGTAGCTGAAGTCCCTCGACCCTTAAAGGGGAAAGGTTGCCTGCCCCTGGTCTAAGGGCCTTTGCAGACTGCCAGAAATAATGCAACTTGAGTCCACTTTAAAGGTTAGGGTTAGTGCTAGGGAATCATGGGAATTGTTTTTCTCTGTCAGAGCTCTGATGCCACAATAAAATACAGTTCCCATGATTCCCTAACCAGAACCCTTAAAGTGGACTCAATTTGCACTATTTCTGGCAGTCTGCAAAGGCCCTAAGTGACCTGCAGTGATTTCTCTCTCTGTCTACCCATCCTGACCCCTCTGTGATGTAAACTGATACTTTCAAGGATGTTTCAGCTCCTTTTCACACACGCCCCATTCTTCTCTGATACCATGCTGAGATTTAGCTCGAATATTCTAGATGTAGACTAGAATATCTATCTTATCTCAGAATGGAATTCCTATAATAGCTTGTTTTCCAAGCCACTGCTGTCTTTCCTCCTTAGTCACAACTTCTATATCACCGCATTGTACTACAGTGTTCCTTCCACATTCGTTGGGGTTACATACACTCACTGCCTGGATTTGCTGTTGAAGGTTGCTCTTTAGGGTGTTTTTTAAAAATAGAATAATGGTTTATAAAAACAAATGCAGTGGTCCTTCACATTCACTGCGGTTAGGGGTGAAGGACCCCCCATGAATGTGGGAAAACCACAAATAAAAGAGCACTATTCTTTTTAGCAGACAGAACACCTCTCTAGGAATATCCAGGTCCTCCAATGCAACTCTATGGTCAACATCTGCCACAAGCTGATCATAGAATCATGCTGGAGGACCTGCGAATGCCTAGAGAAGTGTTCCCTCTAGGAATTTCTAGGTCTTACAGCATGATTTTTGGTGGAAGTTGATCACAGCATCATGCTGAAATTCCTAGAGAGAACACATTAATCAAATCCGTGATAATCAAATCCAAGAAAGTCGAAGCTGCAAATGTGGAGGGACAACGGTAATTCTAAAATTATGGCATAGTGGTTTGAGTGTTAGACTAGGACACTGGGAGACCAGTTTGAATCATCACTGGGCCAAAGAAACCCACTGGGTGGCCTTGGGCAAGTCACACTCTCTCAGCCTCAGAGGACCTCAACGGCAAAAACTCCTCTGAGCAAATCCAGCCAAGAAACCCCCAAGATATATAGGCCAGCAACTTATAATGTTCGATTCCCAGAAGTACCATGTAAACCCAGTGGGTTAACTTGGGGCCAGTCACACTCTCTCAGCCTCAGAGGAAGGCCACCTATGAAAAAAAATTGGCCTAAAAAACAAACACACACCCTATGACAGGGTTGTTTACGACTCTGTGGAGACCTGAGTTCGAATCCCTGCCATTCCACGGAAACCCACTGAGTGACTGAGGCTGACTTTTGGGGGATCACACTCTCTCAGCCTCAGAGGGTGGTGGTCACAAAAGCAATCCCTTTAGGAAACATTTCTTGCCAAGGGTTAGGGTTTGTAGGGCCGGAGATACCTTGGGGGGAAAGGAGGGGCACGACAAAGCCTAATTAAAATAAAATGAAAATGAGAAAGAGAAGAGAAGGAGGGGATTAAAAGGCAGGAGCCAAGGGGTCCCTCCTTCCTTTCCTCCGCCATTTCTGCCTTTTCTGAGGCAAGGCCCGAAAAGGAGCAGAGAATGAGAGGGGGGGCATTCCCAGCAGCCCCCGCGAGGGCCTCATCTGCATAAAAACGGTCCCTCATTAGCATATGCAAATGAACCCCCGCACAGAAAGAGAGAGAGAAAGGAGGAGAAGGAGAAGGGAGACTGAGGGAGAAGGGCGGCGCCCGCCGTGCCTCGTCGTCGGCCGCCTCCCGAAGGAGCCTAGGAGCCGGGAGGAAAGAAGAGGCACATCGGCGGCCTCGACCAGCCCCACAAAGCCTCAGACCTCCTCCGCTTCAACGGCCGCCGCCGCCTCCTCCTTATTCGCCGCCTCAGTCGCTTACCGTTCAAACCGGCCCCGCCTGCGCCAGCCCGGGATCTGACGTCACGCGCACGCCGCTGACGTCGACGCCGCCGCCGCTGAGGGGGAGAAAACCGAGGAAACGGAAGTAGCGTTACCGGAAGTGCTCCTTGCCGCTGACGTCTTGGCCGCGCCTCCTAACCATAGAGAAATGGAGGAAAGAGCGGCCAAAAGGAGCAGCTGAGGGAAATACAAGGAGGCGGACTTCATCTCCCAGGATTCCCGGCTATTAGCCGCGCCGATTGGGGTTGCTGGGAGTTGGAGTTTCGCGGCCTGAAGAGCCTTCTCTGAGATTCCAAATTAGTAGGCCGCCGCATAGTTTTGTCAAAAAGGGCGGTTCTGGTTAATCCTCTGTCCTCATGTCCGTGAATTTATCAAAAAATAAATATACAAATCCCATTTTTTAACAGCAAGCGAAGCCATTCTCTTCTCTTTTTATATTTTTAATGATTTTACAAATTTACAAGCTCACTGAAATCATATCAGAATTCTTCTTACAAATATAAAATTCTTAGTTCATTGAGTCGTGTCAGCATTATGTCGCATGAAATGCCAAAAGCCGTATCTCCTAATGGAAAAATTCCTGTCAAATTATGTGGAATTGCTTCCCTTTTAATATACTGAATTTCCCACAATTTGGCTTCAATCAATGAATTGCATTTTTGTATTATTATTATTTTGTATCCTGCTTTTTTCCCAAACTGGGACTCAAGAGAGGCTCACAGTATTAAAAGAGGAGTACAATTAAAAACATACATTAACACAGAGTTAAGTTATTACAATATTAAAATAGGTTTCTCACTGAGAGAATAAAATACAGTTTAAAAAGATAAAAGTGTCTGAAATACTTTAAACCAAAGCCTCCCTCCAAAATAATCCTCTCCTTCACAACTCTGCTCAGGCCTTGCAAACACAGGGAGGCCCTTGGCTCCCTTGACTGTGGTCCAAAACAGCAGAAATAATCCGGTTTGAGATTGCTTTAACTGTCCTGGCTCAGTGCTAGGGAATTCTGGGAACTGTAGTTTTGTGAGACATTTCGCTTTCTCTGTCAGAGAGCTCTGGTGCCACAATAAACTACAGTTCCCAGAATTCCCTAGCACTGAGTCAGGACAGTTAACGCAATCTCAAACCAGATTATTTCTGCAGTGTGTTTTGGACCTGAATTAGTCCATCTGTAATGCAGTCTAAACTAAATTGTGTAAAAATGGAGGCCCAATCCACACTGCAAAAAACTTTTTAAGGGGTGGGTGGGTTTGGAATTTGGGATTGTGATTTTATTGTATTGTATTGTAAGTTTATGCTTAATTTTAATGCTGTAAACCACCCCAGCTGCTTTGCAGAGGGTCAGGATATTTTATTATTATTATTATTATTATTATTATTATTATTATTATTATTATTATTATTATTATTAAAAATAATCCAATTTGGGACTACAAAACGCCCTTAAAGACATGGGAGCGCCACTGCATTTGATATTTGGTAGTCCTGATGAGAAATCTGTACTTAGGATAAGAAGTTAATGTTAGAAAATAACTTGGAGAAACCAAAAGGTTAAGAACAACAATGCAGTCTTCCTCTTTTCCTCCTGCCCTCTACTCTTTCCAGCATTATCTTCTTTTTCAATGAGTCATATCATCTCATGATGTGTTGTAGTGAGCTGTGTTTGCTTAAGGTTGGCTATTTCTAGAAACTGGGCTTCTCATTTATCAACATACGTTTCATATCACCTGCACCGACCCCATGAATTTCATAGGGTTTTCTTAGGAAAGAAGGAAACTTTGCCACTTCCTTCCTCTGAAATATATCTACAGCACGTGGCCTTTATTGGCAGTTTCTCATCCAAGTACTAACCAAAGCTGACCCTGCAGGGATCTGGTGCCATTAGGATATGTAGGTCTCCATACACATGTATTGAGAGCCAGCATGGCGTAGTGGTTTGAGTTGAACTACAACTCTGGAAATGAGGGTGGATTCCCATCTTGCCATGAAGACCACTGGTTGATCTTGGGCAAATCACACTCTCTCAACCTCAGGGGAAGATAATGGCAAACCTCCTCTGAACAAATCTTGCCAAGAAAACCCTAGGATAGGTTTGCCTTTTATTGTTGTGTGATTTCAAGTCGTTTCTGAATTATGGCGACCCTCTAAAGTGAACCTTAGATGGGGTTTTCTTGGCAGATTTGTTCAGAGGTTTGCTATTGCTTTCCCCTGAGACTGAGAGAGTGTGACTTGCCTAAGGTCACCCAGTGGGTTTCATGGCCGAATTGGGATTCAAACCCTGGTCTATAGAGTTGCAGTCCAACACTCAAACCACTACGCCATGCTGACTCTCATAGGTCTGACTTAGGGTCACCATAAATTGGAAATAACTTGAAAGCACAAAATAAACACATTTATTATTATATGACTACACACATAGCCATGTACATGCTTGTTTTAAAGCTCATGCTCCATAGCTCTGTTCAAGTTACTCAGTAAAAGAGGCTTTAGATCTAAAGATAAGCAGAGATTCAGCCAGGATGATAATTATGCCAGTCCTGGTGCTGATAAGAAGCTCTCTCAGACTCTGAATCCTCCTTCTCTTTCTTCTAAAGGGTTGGGAGGAAGAGAAGAGAACTTTACCTCTCCCACACTTTTTAGTATCATCTCTAATCTTCTACAAATTCAGCCTTTGCAGGTTGCCTAACCTCACCTGGGAAATTTCCTTTGTCCCAGTCTTGGGAAGGGAAAATGCCAGCGCCTGGAAAAAGAGCTTGAAAGCCCATCTGGGACTAAGAAAATAATACAGTCTTATTCTAGACACAAGAGACTGCAGCAATTATAGAACTATAGCACTAATCTCCCATGCGAGCAAAATTATGCTCAAAATTCTGCAACACAGTCTCCAACCACACATGGAGAGAGAAATCCCAGAGGTCCAAGCAGGGTTCAGGAAAGGAAGAGGCACCAGGGATCACATTGCAAATATATGGCTTATGGAGTGCACCAAGGAATTTCAAAATCCAGCATGTGTTTTATAGACTATAGCAAATCATAGAATCATAGAATCATAGAATCATAGAGTTGAAAGAGACC